CTCCCCCCCCGGGCCCCCCCCCCCACAGCCATTCTCACTACTGCCATCCATTCCCAGTGACAGGCTCTGGCACTCCCTGCAGCCTGAGACCTGGGGGGCTGCAGGTTTTCGTGGGAGCTCTGTCGGGGTTGCCACATCCATTCTGGCGAGTGCAGAGGACACAGCTTTCTGCTGGGTGGATACTATAGCTAACCTCCTTCCCAGAGGGTTATAAGTACCAATGGAAGTCACCTCTTGAGCTGGTATGGGGACTAGGCCCTCCCTGCACACCTTCCCGCACCAACTGCCATGCCACACCCTGGCTGATGCTCCACGCTCTGTTCGCGGTGCTCCAGGTGTTTGTGCTCCCTACGGTGCTTTTTATAGGCGTTGGCCCAGCCGCCATTGCTCTGGGAATGCCCAGGCCTTGTCAGCAGCTCCTGCGAGAGCTGCCGGCTCCTGGCGGGTCTCTCCGCTGCCCTGGCCTTTCCTTCTCTCAGGAAAACCCTCTGTGCACCGAGATCTGCCACTCCGCTGCTTTATTTACAAATCATTCAGTGAAATACCTCGCTCATCTGTAAAATGTTTTTAGCTATGTATGACATACTAAGATAAAAGTCACAATAAGTTTGGGAATAAATAATTTTTGTCTAGGCATCTTCACAGAGGAGCTATGTAAGAAGAGAAAATAAGCACAGTTTATTTTTCTGCTGTTTGAAATTTATTTCTTCCTGAACTTTCTTTATGATAAATGTCTTCATGATTAATAGTTGTGCTTATTTTGTTGGCTTTAATTTTGTATCACCTAACATTGACAAAAGTGCATGGCTTTAAAAAGTAATATGTGAGTCATATACTTAAATGGTTTTAAAAAAGGCTAAATAAGCGGCCTCTGCAATTATTTTCATTCTGTGTATTATCCATTTCTAGCCTTTTTGGGGTCTTGGGTTACTTAATTCTCAAGTAAGGAACCTTTACATCATACTCAATATCATCTCAAATTTAAATTAAAAACTATGAATATAATTAATATTTTCTTAAAAAAAATAGGAATTATATACTTAAAAGTAATACTTATAACCTGCATAGTTAAATATGGAAAGGAATGCTACTGAACTTTATTGGATGGCTTTAGGTGTTCTTTCTTTGCAGAGTAAACCCTTTTTTATGAAAAGCTTATCATATCACAATTCTTTAAAGATCACCTAATAGCTGATAAACTCATTGTTAAATATTTTTCCTGATTTGATTAAAGTAATTAGTGGTGAAAATTTACTGCAGTTTATTATGGTGTTTTACCTGTGTCTGTTCACAAGACTACATGCTTGAAGATGTTTACAATAGAAAAAAAGATGTTTTTTCACCTTGGGTTATTCTTTGCCCCTTATCAAAAGCATTCGAGTGAAAAAAAAAATAAAAGAGATGATCAGTTATGACAAAAATTGCAGGAAAAAATCAGAAATGTTAATTATATAAATCTACAAATTATTAAGGATGTTGTGGGATGTTATACTGCAGCAACACTGTCCATATTTAGAACTAATTCTTCTGCAGGACTATGCATCCTCCAGAAAGCACAATAGCTGAGTACTTTGAAAACAGTTAGCAAAGTTATAGTGTTTAAACAAGGCAGCAACAGTGCCTTGTTTAAAGGTATACCTGCATTGGCATATGAGTTCTTCCTGAGATACTGAATGATAAAAGGAAGAAAATAAAACAGGTAGTTTTTAGGGAAATCTCAGCCTTTGGTGTTCTGACAATTCCTGTCCCCTAAAAATAAGAAAAGTTGCAAGACCTCAATTTTTATTAATATATGTCCTAGATGGTTTAACAATTAGAAATGTCAAATAAAAAAGTTAGTCTGTAGACACGACTGTAAAACAAAGTAATCATATTTGTCATTACAATCACAGCCTGCAGCTCTGAAAGAGAGATACGGGTAAGCAACTTACTTCTGTAGTCATGGACTGTGAAATTTGGTTTGTTGGACGCTTCAGCTGACAGTCTGAAGGAAAACCTTTGCCCAGCTGGTGACAAATCTTTGTCTGCTGCAGTGACAGTCTGTATCACCTGAAACCAGATTAAGATTAATTCTGAAGTCAGTTCATTCTTCTAAAAGAAGCAGTTTTGTAGAAGTGCAAAGTGAACATCAAGTGAAACAACAAAAGTGAAATCCTGCTGCATTACTCATTCCTCTAATATATTGGACAGTGGACGCAAGAAGTCTGAATACTATAGCCTCCAGAGGACTCATGATGTCTCAGAAGTTCTTGCTTTGACATATCTGAAGGAAATCAGAAAGATCTACCCTATATTCATAGCAGAAGTATTTAATTTTTTTTTTTTTTTTTTTTGGTATTAAAATACTAGTGATTGTTTTCAGGTGAGTGATTACTTAAAGACAGTTTACTTTATCTGCTACTTTTACTATCACTGTTATGAGTGGTACATGTTGTAGTACTTCACAAAACTGCACCTTAATTTTACAGCTTGAAATGAAGTAGAGAGGGTTGAAAGATCTGCACCATCTAGGTGTGAAGGAACTTTTGGCTCCCAGAGTCCTGTCTACTAGATTTCAGGTAAGCATAGCGCAGATAAAATGTTTCCTAGTAGAATTGCCACTGATCTTGTAAAAAGGAAGGCATTTTTTTTTTATGTAATGAAGGTCTAAATATTTAAAATTTTTGACAGCTCAGTGCTTATCTCGGTCTTCCCTGTAAAAGGTTGCTATTTCTACTGTTAGTGCCTGGATAAGGTACTAACTAAAGGTATCCAATAAACTAGAAGTTAAATTGTGTTGTATGGTATTTAGTTGAAACACATTTAAAAAAAAAAAAAAGATGAGATAGGAATATCATATGAAGTCATGGACAAATCTGTAATAAAGGCAATAAAAATCACATGGACTGATTATGTATAACATACATATAAAGAGAAGTCACTAATTACACAGCAGGCTGAATACATTCCTTCCACAGCTGGCAGTAACTTTCAAAGTTGAATAGTTGAAGTTACAAGTGAAGTCTTAGAAACAGTATTAGCTGTTAATATGTTCGATGGTCAGCCTTGGTGCTTTGCGGAACTGTGTTTAATTGCACAAATTCTGTGCAGAAGGAGCATGTGCCAACAGCTTCTGGGGCCAGCTCTAATAATACTGGCATCACTCATGATATAAGGTGATATCCTGAATCTGAAATAGGTTTTGCATGCTATGTATATATTTGAAACTGCTTATAAAAACATGCTTTCAGGAGGACTGTCTTTGGGGTTGTGGGTTCTTCTTCTCAGAATAGGACACAGAAATGGGTGTAATCCATCCTACTCCATTTACTCACTGCAGTTTTACCCTTATATTTAAGTGTCTTTAAGGAAGGGATTATTTCTCCTGTCATAGCTATTAAATGCAAAGTAAAGAGTGGCTCAGGCCCATATAATCAGGGATAATAAAAATAAATAGACCATAAATAGACCATAAAGGTCAACAAACAGAATTTCAAAAGGTGAGTATTTCCAACACAGACATTTTATTTGTAAAAGAATTCTAATCATGATGTCATTTTCAAACCCAGAAATTTCTATTGCTATGAGTAATAAGGAAAGAAAAACCAAAATAGTAAGCATTACAAATTTGAAATACCTGTCCTGGTTTGGCATTTTCACATACAGATGTCTCATATGGAACTGAAATTTCAGGAGGAAACTCGTTGACATCTAGGACATTTATTATAACGTTGACTTTGCTGGTTAGTAGTGGGTTACCTATAAATGATTTTTAGGAGAAAAATGTTAAGGAATACTCTTTATGTTTGTTGTCATCACCAGTGCACATGAGCTGTCATAAACTGTTTTGATCCCAGTATTGTGATTTCTAAAAGCCCTCGACTTCTGTTTATTTCAGATTTGTACTAAGGAGAAATCAAACTTGGATCCATTACTTTTCATAGAGTAAGGAATCAGTCAACATGATTATGTTTATCAGAGCATAAATTAAGGAATTTGAAATTGTACCTGTAATGTGAAGTTGTACCTGTAATTAAAGATGCAGACTTTCTCAGATCACTTTTCATGGAGTCTGTGGAAAACACTTCCAATGATTAAACCTGAATTCTGTTTTCCACAATGAAATGCAGAAAATCAGTATTTATTACTTAGCCACTGTTTACATCTTCAGGATATTAAGGATGTAAGTGGACCATACCCATTTAGAAGATGGAGAAAAGTAAGAGAGAAAGATATAAAGAAACTTCTTGCTGAAAGCCAGACAGAGTCAGTGGTAAATTTAACAGTGAAACATGTAGAGCTAGCATTCAATTTGTGGTTAAGCCACTGGGCTAAGTTGTAACAGTTATTTCTTTAACTGCATAAGTATTTGCAAGCAGCAAATATTTTTGTGCACAAGAAATGCTAAAACCCAGTATACATGATGCTTCTTTCCATTGTCCTACCAATGCAGATAATCTTCCATCAGTCACTACATGCACTATATAAACAAGTTTACCTTCAAATGCAATGTCTGACAGAAAGGAGACACAAATTCAATACAAAGCAGACAATATTCTCTTTTACTTTATGCTGAGACCCCTTGCAAGATAGCAGATACATAAAAAAAAACAGTTTAGCTGGTGAGTCAAAAGAATAGTTAATTTATCCTTTTGCATATCAGAAGAGTGGCAGCCACTATAGAGACACAGTTAACTATTCAAGAAATCTGTGCTATGAATCAGGGTGGTGTAGGAGTGACAGCATGGGGTCATGGTTAAGTACAAGCACAGTTTTCTTGAATCATCAGTCATAAATAGACCCTTCAAATTATTTGCATTAGCTGCTTCATAGTTTGTATAAACCTTTGCATTTCTGTTGTTTATAACTAACACAGCAAGGGGCAAAATCTCTTCATGGTGGCACTGTAGAAATTTTACATGATTTCTTTCTTGTTCCTAGGAATTAATAAATAAAGTGTTTTCAAGAGGCCTCTGCCAAAGCCAAAAGGTATTCCTCAATGATTTCCTAAATGAGGACCAGCTGCAAGTAGAAGTGTGTTTCACCTGTTTACAAGTAGTGGATAAACTGACCATCCTACAAACTAAGCTTGGAATCTAAAAAAAAAAAAAAATAATCAAAAACCCACTACCCAAATCACACAATATTTGTAGTTCCTTCCTATGAACATGTCTTATTAATAGTGGCCATATCTAATAACATCTCCTTTAATTCTCATTCATTTCCAATTCAGCATCATCCTTACTTGCAGAATGTCTATGTGGAGAAAGGCACTGGGCAGTATGAACGAAGAGAGTTTGGTCTAACAGCTGGGAATTAGGCAGTGGTTCTTTACATGCCAGAAGAACCAGAAGAAATTTAGATTGCTCACTCACAGTTGAATTGGTTCCTTTGTATAATAGAAAACAAAAAAGTGTTAAGAAGTTATTTTAGTCAGTAGAGATCGGGACCCTGACTGAATATACACAGAGATCAGAAAAGCCCTGAATAGGTCAAGTTCACGCAGTTACTGGCAGAAACAACCTAACTTAAAACTTCCCTCCTAGCATTACCCATTGCAAAGAACACAGCAACTCACACAGAGTAGCTCAGGTTTGCCTTTACTTTTTGTGTGTTTATTGTAAGGTACAACACTAAACAACAGGAGTTCAGAACATATTCTTCAAACACATGAGAGATTAATGCATTGCCATGAAAGTACAGGCATGGATGTTCGTTTCCTCTTAGAAATATGTTAGTAATGCCTTTCCAGTAAAAGAATGAATGTATTCAAAATTTATGCATCGTGTATGTAGGAGATATTAGCTGATTTTGATAATTTCTATTAAACATATCAGTTTCTATGTCTTTTTAGGCTTTTTTTTTTATAAGTATCGTACTTAAATATTTTTTTCAGCCTTTTGGAACAGTGTACGTATTATGGGACTGTATATTTTTAAAGTTATCAAAGGGATTTGACATTTTACCTGCCTTCAATATCATGATCAGATAGCATGCTTTGGAAATAGACATGAATATGAGTATACTTTTACATTTATTTCTCACTGATGGTCTGTGATTTATTTTGTGTGATTCTTTGAAAGATATATTAGAGGCTAAAATCTTTACTTGCTAAGTATTTTAGCAATGTAGAATTCTGCCTTGCATAAATGGTCAGCAAAACCCAAACATGAAAGTAAACAGAATTACTACAGCATAAGATGGACCTGCTTCCGGGTTTCACTTTATTTATGTGATTAATTTTGTTTCTAGTTTGCAGTGTTATCAATTTAATTACTCATATATATAAAGAAGACTGCAATTAGATTATGTACAACTTTGAATTCATCTATAATTACAAAGATCTGTAATACTTGATGTGAACGAGGCTGAAGAATTGCATTTCAAATACCACTTTGCAGACTTGACCCCCATTTTCTCTGTTTTTGTTTTGTTTGCTGTTTGTCTCAAAATCAAATCTTTTTGAGCCCTGTGAGCACAGCAGTGACGTGCCTGCTGGTACCAGTGTGTGAGTCACTGAAAACATCTGCTCATGCCTTTTAAACCCAGATTACACAGGTAAGAATATAAATTGGTTCAATCATTAGCCTAGGAATTAAGAAACTGATTTCAGGTTCCAATTCTGCCTGTAAGATACAGACAAATTAATTAGCTTCTTCCCTCCTCAGTTTCCCTGTCTGTAAGACAGTGACAACCCTGCTTCCTTCTTTTGCTCAAGTACCATCATCTGTTAACATCTTTATGGTTCAAGGATATTGCAGTAGTAGAAAATATGTAAAATACTTTGACTAATGAACTTGCGAAAATCCAAGATATCTGAGAAAATAGACAGTGACCATTGAGAACTGGTGATTCCTTAATCCCAGTTATGGCATGCAGAAGATAAAACCCATCTTGAGATTTAAACTGAGGTTTCTTTATCAGTCACAAAATTTGGACCTAGAGTTAGAGAAGATGGAAAGATGGTTTGGACAGGAAGGATTATGGTTACTTTATATTTATTTTTCAACCTTAACTAGCGCTTTGAGGATGGGAAAGCAGGAATAAGATCTTATGCATCTTATCTATTTCCTCTTTTGTAAGATGCAAAAGTCATTTCCAAACTAGGTAATTAAGCAGCATGCTGGGGAACTTTTTGAGCACTGGACTGTGATTTTTTTATACCGTTACATTCTTACAGCAGCCCATGGCACAGTTTTGGCCTGGGGCAACTAGTGGTCTTGCAGACAATTCACATGCATGTGCTGTGAGTTAGTATGGGTGAGGGACCACTCAAAGAATCGATTTACATGTGGGCACTCTGTTTGGAAGGTAAGAGCGTTTAATGGCATAGAAATAGGCTACTCAGTGCCAGCTGGCCTTTGTGCTTGGAACAAATGCAAGCCATGTTTAATTTATTAGTTTGGACAGAGCCTGTGGGATCAAAAATGTTCAGAAGCAGCAACCATGAAGGCTACTAGGGTGTTGATTTACTCTAAGAAGAAAAAAAACTACAATGAAATATAGTCAGGAAGTCAAAAGAAGTAGAGAGAAATTGGAAAGTGAAATGGGGGAAAAAAATGTGAGTCTGAAACATCCTCTCCCTGTCCATGCACTTTGTTCTATACAAAGGCTGAATTTTTATTTCTACAGATGAGTAAGGGATCTTCTGCATTGAGCTGTCTTCAGGTCTGTGTCATCATCTGCATGTCAGCAGAACAATCATCCATCTCCCTTTTTAAAAGATCTCTACTTTGGGACTGGCTCCTTTAACAAGGGTGAGAATAAAGTTACAAACATGTCATGTCAAACATGACAGCAGGCTATCCATCACTCCACACTGGGTACACCTCTGAGATGTTCTCAAGGTTGTACTGCTATTTGGAGACAGATTCTCAGACAGTGTTTAGATCAGATGTTTGGAATTTTTTCAGGGTTAGAAATAAAGATCACAGTATAATGATACATGGTCAGAGCTGGTCACTGCATAACTTGGGCAGAATAACTTCCCTTAATCCAGTTCCCCTTGTGGAACCAGCAGCTACTGTCCATATGCAAGGTATACTGTGTTATTGCTGGGTAACCAGGACTTCCCTGGCTGTGAGTGTGCAAGTTGACACAAGCAAGCCTAGGACAACCAGATTTCATAATTAATTGTTTGCTAAGCATCCAAGTTCTACCTCTCTTTAAGCTGCCAACCTGCACCATGTTTGGTGTAGGCAGGGATGAAGGGGCAGGACCTGGAGTTTTGGGAAGAATAAACTCAGAGTATATATATGAAGATATACGTCAAATAAATGCAGAATGAGGACACTGGACATGAAACCATTTGCAAATTCCCAAACAACCAGGCTTTTGAACAATTTTTTTTCCTCCGCAACAAGCAATGTCGCAAAGGTTACTGTAATAAAACCAAGGTATTTCTTTTCTGCCTTATTTTTGAAATGTATTCCTTTAAAAATTATGACTTCTGTTGCTTTAGTGCTAATAATAGCCAGATTTATCAGCTTGTAAGAAAAGTCTAAATGGTGCCTCCATATCTACATTTATATTTATCAATTGCCTGCTGCTATGTTTAGCTATCTAAACTGTATGCCATTTATGCCATTGTTTGAAAGGTAACTCGATTGCTCAAAAGTCATAATATTACTTCAAGATTTTACTGTCTGTGAGACAAAAATGTAACGCAATCATCGTCTGTGATTTGTGCAGGGGTTTCATTCTGAAGCTACAGAAGAGCAAAGGGGAACAATCATTTAGAAAGCAGCAGGGCTAAGGCTCAGGCAGGGAGTCCATGTAAGCCTGCTCATGACCTTGGCATCATTTTCCACGTATAGGGGAATGATGGCAAAGGTGGTTTACTTTATTTTTGTCTGTGACTTGATGGGGATAAATCTGGTGGTCTTTGTTTACAACTGGCCTGTTCAGGAAAAGATAATTTATAGAATGACCATGACCATTAAGATGTGTCTAAAAGGTGTGGGGGGGGTTGTTGTTCTCTCACAGTGAGAAGGCAAAATATGTATTTTAGCAATAAAGTTTTTTAAGTAACAGAACTTAATATGCCTATTATTAGTTTGAAGTCTGTTTATTTTAGAGATGAGGTCATGGAGAACTGAAAATATATATACCTAACTATATATATATAGTTAGGTAACTATAGTGTCCATTCCTGAGAGAAGTTTATGCAAATGATTGCAATACCTGGCCACTTTCCTTAGGTAACCATGTATGTGTCAAGGCATTGTTCAGTGCACTTTTTTCACTAATAAGAGATGGCAGTTTCACTGTTTCTATGTCAGCATTGAACAAGTGGCATTTTTTTTTAATAGCAGAAATTCTTCAAGTATAGTAATTTCCCCGTCCTCTTTTTCTTCAGATGTTTTCTTCTCTTCTAACCTTTTTTTGGTTGTGTGCAGTGTGTCATTTCTTTCTGTGAAATGACACAGCCTTTATTTCTGTGCTAGCTCTTAGTCAGAAAACTGCATATAAAGTTTTGATGGTTAATATACCTCAAATCCTCCAAAATATTGCCAGCTACTGGTGTAGTACCAGTATGGCAATTGTTTTTAATGCTATAGATAATGGTCAATGTATAAATATTTTGAGGTATGCTGAAATGAATCACAAATATGTCTTAGGTGTAGATTCTTAACTAGGCAATTGCTAAAATTGGGAATTTCATAATACAGCCTACCTGCTACAGCTCTACATAAACATGATATTACTATATGTGTGCCAAGAATGTGCACAGATAAGCAGACTTTGAGGTTTTAGCTAGCTTTAATTACTCTTAGGAATAATAGACAGATTCATAGCAAGTTTACTAAAGCTGGTGCCTTACTGCAGAAAAAAATTACAAATCTCAAATGTTCTTTGTCCACCAATTAATCTAAATAGTTAAGCTTTACTAAAGCATAGACCATTATGAGACCTCCCCTCTGCATCTACCTGCCTTTCAGTTTCTCTGGAAACACATTACAGTTCTGCTGGACTTTCTGTCAATGTACACATGCACATGTATATCCATCTACTCAATCACTTGTGTTAGATTAGTTTCCTCTGTTAGTGTATTTCTTTTCCAAGCTACGGGTAAAATTCAGGTTTTCAGTTGACTGGTGCCTGCGTTAGATTTTCAGGCTCCAGGGAGTGAGCCTATGGTTCTTTTTGAGATAACTACAACTAAGAGTTTATTTTTTTATTTTAAATAATGTATACCTTCTCTGCTTCCAAAATCTCCCTCTTCCTGTTAGTAGCATGTATTATTTTTGAAGACTCAGTGCCAAGCAATACATTGAGGAAAACATGTTCTTTGCTTAGAAACTTGCATTTTCGGACACATAAACAATACAGAATGAATAGGAAGTACAGCAGGGGTCCTCTTCTACAGCCTATTGGTGTCAAAAGAAAGACTTGTGTGGCCTTTACACAACCAGTAAGTGACCAAAAGACTTGTATTCAAAGGGTGGTATATGACTATGAGAGTTTCAGTTTGACAGGATCATGAAGGAAGAGTGCTACACAGAAGGATGACAATGAAGAAAGCTGCAGTTACATAATGCAGCAGAAGTAGGGAATTCTTATTAAAAAAAAAGAAAAAAAGCTATGTAGGAGAAGAGACAAAGACAAGAAATGAAAAACAAACCACCACAAATCATATAGGAAAAGAAGACAAGTGGTTAGGCATAAAGTCTTAGGCAGAGAGAAAACACAAGAGCAAAGATGCAGCACATACATTGATTCATTTAAATCTTGACTCAGTGTACTTTTTGTCTGAGAATCAAATGAGTCTTTACATTTTTCTCACTTCAAAAAGCAGATTGACAGACCTGTTATTTGACTAACCTAATTTCATATGGAGTGAATTACAAAATCAGAAATAAGAATTGGAAAGTCTCCATGCAGCTCCTCATACTCTTCATGCTGACAAAATGTTTTTCAGCTTCTGAGGGAATTGTGCCTTCATGAGGACTACTAGAAAAACCTTACTATACAGGGCTGTTAGAACATCACACTTAGCCTCACAGTGAGTCTGGCAAAATGATATTTATTAGGCCTCTTGGCAATACATGCATTCTTCACAGTATATTTATGCCTGAGCACTACATTCTGAAAAAATACCGCATTAGCATATTAATTCAGTTTGTGTCATACTTACTAACTTTACTTGCAATTATAGAGAAATTGTACTGTGCTGTGCTTTCTCTGTCCAGTAATTCATTAGTAGCAATGGTTCCTTCAGTAGCATCTATTGTAAAGTAGCTGTCCACATCATTCTTCCAATCGATGAAATATCTGTGTGTGAAAAATATTAAACAAAGTAGATGCAAATGTGCAAAGATTACTCATTTATCATAACAGCAGCCTATCTAGCTCAAGTTTTGTTATTTTTCTCTTACCAGCTATTACGATGCTTGCAGAAAGAAGACCATAAAGAGTGATTTGTTTATTTATTTTTTGCAGAGATGGAATGCTCAAGGGAAAATGGGATATAATAAAAGATTTAGTACTTCTGGTGTTCAGATTATTTGAAACCTTTGAGCTCCCAAGAAGTTGATGCACAGCTTCTCTGACCCTGATCACTTATACCAGTCACTTTGAAAAGCAGTAGCTAGGCTTAGAGGGAAAAAGAGAAAAGATATTTGAAATAGTGCTTGAGGTATGAATAGCGATGAAGAGTGGATCTGATCTGGTCTCTTTACATCCATTTGTAGCTGCAGTAGGCTGGAGGTACCTCACTGGGCTTGCAAAGAGGTGTCCTGCTGGACATATACAAGCTGTTGGCACAGTCTACTCAAAGATCCCTCACCTAAGGGATGTTGGAAAAGTCACAGTATGGGAGCTGGAGAAGAGCGTGCTTATTCCCCTATATATACAGGAGCAATAAAAGCCTCTTTGCCTTTGGGAACAATAGGCAACTTTCACTTTCACTGGAGCTGTGAGGAACAGGGAAATACCATTGTTTTTTCATTCTCCTGAGCCTTTGTAAAAAAAGTATGAACATAGAACAGATTCAAAACTCAAAATGTGTACCTATTTGTTATTTTTTGTTATATTTCCCTAGCAAGGATTTAATAGAAAGCAAAGATGCACTTGTAAATGTAGCTGCTTAAAAGCAATCTGATAATTATTCCAAACCCATTTCCCTTAAATGCTAATTAATTTGAAAGTCTCTTTTCACATTTGATGCTACTGTTTGTAGTCATAACAGAATAATAATTTTTCTGATGCAGTGCCGCCAGCTACCAATTTCCTTTTCATTGTTAGTATCTTCATACCTTCATGATGTTTCTCAAAAACTAGGCAGGATGAAATTGAGAAAGCCATTTGTGAGTAGTAGGCGATAAGAACAAAATGGCACTCAGCAGGA